ATTTACATGTACTCACTGAAGTGCTACTAATGAACTACCGAAGGCGTCGCTTGAAGCAGAATTAACTGTCTTTTGGTGTAATAATAACTCATTTAGACCTGAATAGATGCAGTATTCAAAATTATCATAGATTTATATGAATTATATTTTGAAACAAGGCTGAAAATAAGTTTAAATGTTATTATAAAAATTTACTGTGAAAGAAATTCATGCTTAAATAAACTATTATTATTGGTTTCATTCAAAAAATATTCTTTTTTAACAGAAAATATATTTGAAAAACAATGACCTCAAAAAAAAAACTCATTTTCGTATTTAGACCATTTTGATGTTACTTGTATTGTATATGTTAATAAATTCCTGTTTCAAATATTTTGAATATAATAGACAATAGAGTTGTTTCAAAAAATACTATTATACTATTGTATTTTATACAGATGATGTTTAATATATGTATACTACATATAATACCACTAACACATCATGTCTCAGTCGACTTGATATTGCATTCCTGGGACTTATATAAAGAAATGACTTCCTGAGACCTATCATTTTATATATATACATAATTAAGCACATTAAAAAGTCTAGTCTGATTTTTATCTTTCATTTCGAGCGAGAACAATACTCGTAAGAACCGATATGGCCTCCTCTTTATTAATATGTTATCTATGTTACAAAATATTTCTTTGAATTTTCATAAAAGTCAAGTTTTGTATTTAAATAAAAATAATTAAAGTTGCATTTTACTTATAAACTGCTTTTTTAAAAAAAGTCTCTTAACAACTTTTTCTAGGCGTCGTGTTTTAAAAATAAAATTCATGTCATTGGTAATATTGTGGCTCTTTTTATTAAACAAAATATACATATATTGTTTTTTTATAAAACTACAATTGGCAATAATTGATACCATAAATGAAAGTATCACATACTTAGATAAATAATTAATATTTGATGATTAATAATATGTCATAAATAAATGTTTATATCACGTTTTATTAAGAATTTTTGAATTTGAATAAATTTTCCTGTTCATAGTATTTTTTGTATTTTGGTATATTCTAGCACTTAATAGATATTGTTACGTGCATTGATATTTTTCCAAAGGTATATTTTCAAGTTAAAAAAAGTATATCAATGTAGTCATATGAGTCAGTAAAATGTCAGTGGTGGCCTAGTGGTTAAACGGTCGCCTCTCATGCAGAGGGCGCGGGTTCAATACTGTCAAGTACCAATGTGATTTTTCCGAGTCATATGTCCTTTCTAAGAGTATTCAGACACCACCGACATAAGGTGAAGGAAGACATCGTGAGGAAACCTAGACTTATAGCTTCACTATTATAAGTTTTAAATCACCAACTCGTCTTAAGCAAGCTATGTATATCGAATTCACTAACAAATATAAATTCATGGAAACAAAATATACTTAATATTATTCATAATTGTTGTTGAAAGTATCCGTTTTGTATGTCACCGATTTCTATTTAATTATTGCATAGAAATAAATCTAAGAAAACCTTATCATATTTTACAGTACTTAAAATATACATTGTATCATTATACATTATAGATATTATAAAAGAAACGCCGAAATTTTACACCATTAATAATGACGAATGTTTTGACTCGTTAATCTGGTTTTTGGCATTTTTTAGAAAGATACCTTAAAATTTACTTCGTCCTGAAGTAAAATAATGTTGGTGCATAAAAAAGTGCGAAAAAAGGAAAAGTAATACAAAAATATAAATTTTAATAAAAAACGTGTCAAAGGAGCCTAAAAGGAATATCTGTTTGTCCTTCGATGTCAGTGTTCTTTATGAAAAAATGTGTTTTTCTTTTGTCTACGTTGTTATTGAGGCGACATGACCCAATGTATAAAAATACTAAATGTAAAAAGTCAGATGTCTACCTTTATATAGAATAAAAATAAATGATTGTTATAAACATATGTACAGTTCTCAATATTCTGTGGGATATCAGTATAATAAAATACTTTATGAAAGTAATAGAAACAAAAAATAAATTAAGTTAACATTAATTTAGGTATTAGATGTGGAATAGTTTTCTTATAATTGTCATTGTATAAATAGATTTGAGTCATAAGCTGGGGAAACCGCAAAATAGCTTAAGATAAGTAACTGAGTAACAGAGTTCCCTTTTTCAGATCTTGAAGTAAAATTGGTATTACACTGTATTTACTGCTCATTTAATATTAAGAAACGTTCGGGTCCCCAGAGAGAAAGAAAGATAACATTCATTTACAGAAGCTAGCAATATTTTTTGATCTATTTACTATGTTTTAATTATTTTTTGTGTTTGAATTTAGAAGAATTGAGTTAGGCTGAAAAATATATATCCAATTATGTTTTTACAATGATTAATTTTATTTCATTCTGTTATTATGTTAAAAATGATACAAATTTTATGAACGTGGGCGTAAATAAAAGAGATATGTAAAATAAGGAACAATGAAAATAATAAATCAGAAAGTTGTAAACTAATAATGGCGGTCAGCTTGATATCATTAGCAAATTAATTAAGGGTGGCAACCAGAGGCTCAAGGAAAACCATACTTATATGTATATTAAAATACTAATTACATGTTAAAACTTATAACGTATACCTAAGACTACATGATAGCCCGGATGCTAGGATGTCAATGACATTCTAAGGCTTGTGTGGTATCATCTGGTTCACACGGCTTGCTGTTCGTTCCTCGGAGTCAGTTGCGTCACTCGTTATATGATATTTTACCCATAAAACGATGTTGCCCCGATGATGTTCACTTATTTTGTCATTTGTATCGCCTACGTAATAAGTTCGTGAAGATCGTTTATTACGTACGCTCGAATATGACTCCAAGGGTCACAAAAACTTGATTTACAACTCCATTAACAAAGAACCTCATAAATTATTTTATGCATTACGGGTATATATTATACTTAAAAAAGTTGTATAATGAAGCTATCACAGTACGTAATGATATGTCTCAATTTTTATAGACATAAAGAATTTATCATTTTTAGTTTTAATTTTATTAAATTCTAAAGAGGGCAATCGAGCAAACGGCCTACCTGACGGAGGTACTACCGTCGCTCATAGACATCCACAATTTATTTTTACGGATGCGTTGTCAGTTGTCACCCTTGAGTTGGGAAGAGGGAGAGAAAATGAGAATAATTATAATATTTATAAAATAATTGTAAAAATCTTTTAAAAAAATAAAAGTAAATATTTTTCGGATTATACTAAGCATATTTTATTATTCTCGCCTGGCCGTGATCACGATCGTTGCAAGGTAGCTGAAACTTCGGTAGTATGTATGTTTTAATGTAATAAAATACGCGTAGTAGAAACGCGTAGTATCCGCAATATATTAGTTTTATTTAAATTAATATTCGCGAAAGACGTAGACTTCCTTGAAAGTAAATTAGTTTTCACATTTTTTTTCATCCCAATTGTCTGATATTCTGCATAAAAACATAAACAGCTTAAAAATAGGGAAAAAGAGACACGATAAGGTACGTAAGACCCTACCACGCTAATTAATTAAACCGGACCATTTAGTTGACGAGGGGAAACCAATTAATTTGATTTGTCCTGAAATTGAAAGATTATTATCTTGTTTTAGTATTTTCTATGGACGTTTTCAATAAAAGAAATCTCCCCGGGATTAATTTTCTTTTTAAAATGTTAATTTTAACATAAGAAAATGCTTCGGATTTCATTAATTGTTATATCATTCATTATCATTATTTTTTAAACACCGCCGAATCATATTCTACACATTTTATGTGAAACTTGAAGTATGAACTATCAAATATCATAAGAATCTTTACATTCTACTCATGCAGAAAAAATAAACATGCAAAAAATGTACAACTTTCTTTGTTTTCAAACAAAAATGTTACACCTTCCCCTTTTATAACAAATTAAATTCTATTATTTTTTTATAAAAAATGTATATGTTTTTGTTTCATCTTTATCTTTTTTTACATCTATTTTCTTTAGTTTTAAACTCTTACAACATAGTGAGATTATAAATCTAAGACGATTACTCGAGTGACTGGAAATAAAGTTTAATAAGGTTTTGTAACACTAAAAAATGTAGATGCAAATCAAACATTGTGGAATTAAATATTGAAACAAAAAATATTAGATATCAAAACTGATAAATATAGATTTAATAGGTTACAAAGGTATCAAAATCAATTAATCTTTACGTATAACAATTTGTAGAAATTGATTGTTCTTTTTGTTTCAACTCGGCAGAACAAAGAAAATGAAAAAATTCTCTTCTAAATAGCTCGACTACAGAGACACGGAGTTTGAAGAAATTTCCAATCAACTAGAAGCATCACCTTATAGTTATATTTTCAATAAATTGAAACTTCTATTTCTTCAATGATATCGTGATTACACAACACTCTACATCTTATTTTTCATACACTTGAGTTGTATTTGAACCATTCAGAATAAACTTAAACAATATGATTTTATGAAATAAATGTTTTTCTATCTACATAAATTCCTGTGTAGTACATATATTATTTTATATCAGAGTTTCTGAATAAAAAACTCAACATTAATTTGTGGCCAGAAATTTCTTAAATAATATAAAAATTTAACAACATTAAAAGTTTCGTCATTTGACATGCTGTTGAATTAAATTGTCTTAATTTTGTTCACAAAACAATTGGTATAGTTTTATCAATCATTAATTGCACATGTTGCGTTTTAAATGAATCAGGAATTAAAACATTTATAATTAATGAAATCTAAGATTTTTGCGAGTACTCATTTATATGAAACTAATAATTTTGGATTTACTACGCGTTTTTTTGCATACTCCCGACGTTTCGGCTACATTACAGCAACCGTGATCATCTCGTCTGCCTGATATTATTAAGATACAGTGCAACTACATATAATAACTTAATCGTATTGTCAACGTAATAAGTATGGTAATTAAGCACTTGAAAGCCTAAAAAAAGTGCAATATGCAACTTCTAACTATGAATCAACTATTTCCCATACCAGCATTTACCAGCATATTGTGCTCCTTCAGGTTATTAGCTATGGAAATACGAAAGCAGGATGAGAAAAATAATGCCTGTTTAGGGATTCACAGTTCAACTTGGGAAAATGTCTCGTTAATTGTGGCTACTAAAGAGGCTCAAAATCACGCCTCGGCTCGTGACCGCGGTGACGCCGCGCCGTGTGTCTGAACCTCACTGTAGTCGCGCGTGCTCGGTTTATTATCATCGTATAAATATTAAATATTTCCAAATAACATAGCTTGAAAAAAATTCCATCTAGTTGATATACCAAAGACTTATGTGTAGAGTAAGACAAAAAAACTTTTAGGATTAAATTTTATTATATTTTAAATAGATACATAACAAAAGTGCTATAAAATACGCAAGACTTGTAAAAGGCCAGATGGAAATATTATGAATATTATGAAAAAAAAATTATTGTTTAATAAAATTTTTGAAAAAAACCTATACAAATTCTTATTCACTTGACATTGTGTTTTCATTATTTCATTTTGCTACCCGTACAAAAAGTGAAGTGAAGAAAGTGCGGGGTAGAGTAAAAGCAGAATAGACCGGTTAAAAACTAGAAAAGAACGTGGCATTCAATAATTTGACATCACACCTACACTATCCATGTGCACTCACACAAATGCAGAGCTCAGCTTAAATCAAACGCACTATAACTCTAACGGTTTTCTTAGAATAGCCCACACACAATTCACACAATATATTTAACTATTGTAGTCTGTGTGTTGTTCTGATGAATAATCTATATTATTGTAAAGTTTCATTAAAATCCATTCAGTAGATTTTGTCTGAGTGAATAGCAAACATCCATAAATAGAAACTCTCGAGTTTATAATATTAATTGGATGAAATATACAAAGTATAAGAGTCATATTCATTTTGAAAACTTATTTTTCATTCAATAATATAATAAATATTTGGAATATAACATCTGAAAATAAATACATCGATCAACTTTTAAAATAAGTCTTGACTTTGAAACTTTTTGATAAAGGAATTGTAATAAATTTTCTTCATAGATATTTGTATTAAATTAAAAATGTAACATACATTTTTCATTGTTGTTAAATATTTCTCTGATAAAGTATTTGGGTGTCGTACCATTGTGAATTAAATGTGGTGTTTTAATAATATATAAATATGTATAAAAATAGCAGACTTGCTCGCTCGTATTATTATTATATTTTTTGCTTTGGTAGCCTCACCATACCTGTCATGTCTTTTGTTCTATGATATAAAACAAACACTACATCCAAAATTATAATATAATTTTCTTTACTTTTCACCGAAATTTATTATTAACAAGCGATACATGGTTATACTCATTAAATGAGATGAAACTTGTCAGCATTCCCTGCATTCACTGTACAAGCACTTGGCCCATTGCGTTGCAGCGATAGGAGATTTTACATTGCCTGGGATTTGCGACCAGTATATATAATTTTTTTTGTAACAAACAATAATTGTACTTTGCAGTATCTAATCACACTCACTATATATTTAAGTTGAATATTGATTAAATAATAATAATAATTCGATTTTATAATATCTGACTTGATATGTACGATGGGAACTAAAGAAAGAGAAAATGTTAAATAAAACAAGGAGCCCAGAAAACAGAGATAAGAAGAGGAACGGGGATTGTAAAAGATGTAGCGAGAAAGGACAGTAAGATTACGAAACAATCTGATAGGAAGTCACCCAAGTACAGATCCGACTAACAATTTGTGTGATACATTATATAAATAATGATATAATATAATATATATAGATCCTGGTACCTTTAATTTAACGGTAATGTTTCAGTGAAGTTTATTAACATGAAGCTTTTAACTGTTTATAAATTATTAATAATGTTCTAATTTCCATCACAAGTACAAAATATTTTCCTGTGAGTATATTAACTAAAATATTAAACGTGCATTATAGTATAATATTATTCATGATACCCTTGGTTTTTATTGGTTATAATGTTGATTAAATTCTTATGTTTAATTATTAGCAATAAAAATATAAATAATAATATTATTTAAAAACAAGTAACTACATTATTATCTTTCACTATTACGATATCTAAAACTATTTTTTTTTTATTGAAGATGCAAAAAATATAAATTTATGTAAACCTTTTATTTATTTGGTTTTAACAAGCACGTTCTTATTTTGACAAACAGAGTTGAGGACCAATACTATGTATATGGGGCTTGGTTGCTCTAACAAGCTTGGTTCACAATAAACGGAGATTAAAGGTTTAAAAAGAAAATACAATTTGACTTTATAAAAAAGAATGTAATTCGGGTAAGATATACTTATTTTATTATTTTGTGTAATTCAATATTGTTTCTTAAAGGCTTGTGTATCTGCTGTGTAATTATTTATTGATGGTTAGAATTAAAAATTCCAATCAATTTCAAATGACCTAATAGAGACATAACATCTTCAAAGACCATACCATCAAGGCCAACAATTATAAGGAGCTCGCTAAAGAACTCACTAAGAATAGGTTCGTTTAAATTTTGTGAGGTTGAGAGAGGAGCTTGGACGGTGGAGGTGAGTGTTTAACGCGTGTTACATAGAGGGTCCTTAAACCTCCACCTGAACGGAGGTCCCAGGCACAGTTATAGCTCCTCTTCCAACACCGTGATTCCAATGAACGCTGAGAGGTTTCGTGTCACAAGGGCACTTTCAAAGTTTCAGGCGTTGATTTAAGAGAAGATTACTTCTCGTATGGACAACATTATATTACTTGCTCACGTATTAGACCTGTCTCTTACCTCCTATTGATTATTATTGATGCTTCTTTTAGGTGCGTAAATGTAAATATTATTCTGTCATTAATATTGTCAAGGTAACTCCGCACCCGCGTTATAAATATATTATATAAACAAAAGCTTTTAGCACATTTATTATAATAAAAGGTTACGACAAATCTTCAAACCATATTCTTACAGTAAGTATATACAAAAAACACCATCTTATTTTCCTTATCATCTTATTTTTCTTCATCATGATTTTAAATATGAATCTAGGGGTTGGTTAATACAAAGCACAGTCCTTTAAATGACTAATAAAGTCTAAATATTTGTTGTTTCTTAAATGTACAATTCAACTATCAAACTGTCATAATGTTAGTTGTTAAACCAATAATTGTTACTAGATCCAGTCTCTGTTATTCACATTCGTGTATGAAACTGACACATTCGTATTAGATTCTGTAACATGCTGTTCACTTCAGAGGCTTCATACTACCATCTTCACAGATGATGGATGCTGTACGTTCTGACGGGGTTAAGCTCTGCGAGTCTACTAAACAACTGATAATTAATTAATATTACTTACAACTAATGGTTAACAATTTTATGAACACATTATGTTACTTTTTTTTTGTTACTTATTTCATAATACCACAATAAGACCCATTAAAGGGCTCCTTTTATTTTCTTGTTATGAATATTAATTGTTTAAGTATTATTTAATATGAAAGTTTACATTTTGCTGGGATTTTCAATTTTAGGAATTTTGTTTGCTAATAATGGCACAACTACACAGAAAAGCAAAATATTAATGAATATTTTTATCGCAACATCAATGCGGTCACATTTAGTTGTGTAACGAACAATTATTATAAATAACTTGCTCAAATAATTTTGTAGATTGGAGTTTACGCTTTAAATTAAATTCGACCCACGATCAAAATATATTATGATAATTAGTAAACACAAATAATTAAATTATTTGCATGAAACACAGTGTATTATAAATAACGAGTAGAGGAACATTTATATATTTCTCGATGTAAGTATGCGACATCATAAATTTTTATCCCTGAGGAAAACACGGATACAAACCCTATCATAGTTGGTATGCCTGAGGCAAAATTAAGTATATTTCTATCACGTTACATATTTTAATTCAGTTCTAAATCAATAATCTTGAATATGGATACCATCGGAACACTATCTAACATTAGATATTAAATAACTTAACTCTAACAGATTATATGTAGTATAGCATGAATATCAGCACTTCGTTTAATGCCCGCGAAAGAACATAATGAGAAGTTGTTAATACAAGTATAATAATTCACAAGAGTATTAAAAATAAAGATTTTATAAACAGTATGATTATCATACTTATAGTTATTAATATAAACTTATAGTTTATTAACTTCGGTTACTATACATAGAACACATCCGATGAATTTCTTTATACTGCCTTATACATATGTAATTTGAAATGAATGTTATTGTTTGTAGGTAAAATTTTGGAGCTGAATTTGAAGGAACACTTTTAAACAATTATGTATGAACTCAATTTGACTCACAACATATGGTTTCATTTATGAGGTCATTTTTTATTCAAAATGGCGACATTTTTATCCAAGATGACGGTCCAGTACTTTCTAATGCCCTCTCAAGTTGATGAAACGAAAATGTCTGCCAAGAATATATTGAAAAATAAATGTCCTTCAGTTTACAACTACAATGACGTACTTTTAATGATATAAGCTTTATCTATAAAAATGTTAATCGTTTTTCAAGAAATAAGTTAGTATTAAATTAATTAAATGAAAGAAAAACTGATTTTTTTTTTATGATTTTCTTATCCTACATCAAAACCATACTGCGGCTCTTATTAATTATAAATTTTCGTATAAAAGACAATAGAGTCAAGTTATCTGAGTATATTCCGCCGAAGCATCCACAGTTCATTTCATATTATTTATCGACAATAGCTCCATAGACGAAAATAAAGTTGATGTCCCCTATATTGATATCAATAGTTTTTATTATAAAAATATTTTGTTCTATTTCATGTATAAAAATTTTGTAATTAAATTTTTATAGCTGGTCCACCTTACTTACGAAAAAATATAGACTTTCACTTTTTTGTTTTACTCAGTGGCAGGCAATGTAGCTCAACGTTTTAGTTTGATAAAATTAGAATAATTTTCGAAATTAATTAAATTTTGTTCAATCATAGCTGTATTTGTTTTTAATTCAGGTAATGGGTCTGTAGCCTTTGACATAAAATTGCAATTAATGGAATTTGAATCACAGTTCAATAAACTTAATTGGTTGACTTATACATATATACATATAAGTTGATATAGATAGTTATATTAATTTATTACTCACTTACTGTTGGAACTTATTACCTTG